AGTTTATTCTGTGGGTTTATTGAAGCAAAATAATGCCAGTGCTTTTTGCAATATTATAATGGACAGCTATAAACTGGTCCCCCAAATATTTTGTTGCAATTTATTCTCTACTGTATAATTTCATAAACACTAAATTAAAAAGTACTGAAGTTTGCAATATACCACCAGCTAATATGAGACTAAGATAATGAAAATCTTGGTAGATTTTTATAGCTTCTGAATACCGCTTAAATGTATGTCCAGTCAGTTAATGGTATCGTCACTCAAAATAGTAAATGAAATCGGTAATAGATTACATTAAGAATAAGTACTAGTCCCAGTAGTAATATATATTTTTAAAAATTACAAAAAAATAAATGGGGGGAAATAATTTTGAACAGTAAAACTGAAGAAAAAAGCCTATTACAAGCCACAAAAAACCAAATTCACAGAGTAAGTTCAGCCTTTTGCTAACAGGCATGATATGTACATTTAATCATCTCTAATAATCCCTCACTCACTGTGTGAAAATAAAAGAAGCAAAGCGCAAATACTACTTTGAACGATAATGCCAGTTGTTTAGATGGCAGATTGCTTCTCCATGGCTATTAGTTACAGCTGTGTAATTACATATATGGTGGGGGGAAAATGAAGTTGTTTTAAAACAAGTCCTCCTTTGCGAGTAGAATTAATTGATATTATCACTCCTAACTACATGACCAAGTTACACACACAATATTTTATCAGCAGTTAGTTTGGATCAGTCTCTTATTAGCCAAATAGTAATTTCAGAAGAAATTAGCCTGAAGCTAGTAATCAATCTGTGTTGCAGTCACCCATGGGTATTAAAAACAAAAACAACTGTGTTTGTCTCTGTCTCTTTCTCTCTCTCTCTCTCTCTCTCTCTCTGTGTGTGTGTGTGTGTGTGTGTGTGTAGATATATATATATATATTCATATATATGAAAGAGGCAGAAGAAAAGAAGAAACTTCCATGGACTTGTGATGTGTTTTATTATTTGGGTTGCACTTAGTCATGCAATAAAATGCACTTGAATGTTTTAAGGTAATCTAACTGAAAGCATTGCTTTTTATTTCAATGTCACCCAGTCTGTTTGAAAAGATACCCGTTTCTATAGATTATCTTTAAAAGCATCACGAGAATAATGGTATGCACAATTGGCTTGATAAATAGCTGTGGGTTTTTCCTCAGTCTGACAGTATAAGCCTAACCAACCATATATACTTCAGAAATAAGCCTCGATGAATATAGTGAAACTTATTCCATAATAGGATTCTAGTTCTATATTCACATACTTGGAAGTAATCTGTTGAAGTCAATGGATATTCCTTTCTGCATAAACATGCCTAGCGTTGGTCTGTCAAGGCTGCATTTGGATGTAATGTCAAGCAGAAGTGTTTTTGCCGTAGTTCTTGGAATCAACCCACAGTGGCTTGATTTGAACATAATGCTAAGTACAAGGGGTGAGACCACATGTCATGCTAAAACAAAATAACCATATTTGGTTTAGCAAGGTTTGTGACCCCAATGATTTGCAGTCTAATGATTCTATATTATATTTGCCGATATCCTCAGGAAGGCGTGTGTGTGATTTGCTAGATTGCTTTCGTTTCTGCAAAATAGCCCAAGCCTTTTCCTAGACTGGACTGAAACATGAAATACTACTTTTTTTCTAATTGTTATGAAAAAAGTTCAGCCTTCTTCCCTTCATGCCGTTTTTCTTTCCACATTGCAATTTTATTTGGAAGAAGGGATTAAACATACAGTATTCAGACTGCATATTTTCTGGTGCAATCCAGAAAATGTGTTGCTGCTGCTGCTATGATGATGATGATAATGATGGTGCTGGTGATGATGATGATTCCTTTTTTAAACTTACTTAGGCTGACTATACAGAATCAACTCCAAACTAAGCTTTTTATTCAAAACAGTTCTCAGTTGTCTTTTATTAGATGTCCAAATCACAGTCCTGGTGCTTCCCATGTGAAGGAACAGCCATGTCAGTGGCTTCAGGTACTGAAACTAGCCTTATAGGAAA